TGATGGCAGAAAAGTTCGTTCTGTTAATAGTTATTCTAATAATTGTTGCAACGTCGGAATATCTTCGTCTTTAGGTTGAAGAAGGAATCAGTATTTGGATGCATCTAAAAATGCTTACGGTTTTGCCACTTATGGTGTACAAAATGGCCATTCCAACTTGATTTTCGCCAAATCTAAAGTAGCGCCTATGAAGCCTAAAAGTTTACCCACGTTCAACTGTCAAGAAATCGTTCCAAGTTCGATAGTTCAGTTATGTTGGTTAATTCACATCATTTGCAGAAATTTCTAACCAGTCATTAGATAGAAAAATCGAGATTAGTCATTTTTAAGCAATTGTAGATTTTTTTTCTCCTACTGATGTCATCAGGTTAACAAATAAAAGAGCAAATCTTTTGACGTAGTTTAGTTTTTAACGAGATGAAATCAAGGAGAGGAATTATATACATGAGTTTTTTGAAAGAAGTTAGAAAATAATGTCTATTTTTGGTCGATTCGTGTCTTATCGTCTTTTAGTTTTTGCAGAAGTTGTTGGGTATATACCCGTTGAATTTATTTGTCCAACAATGTGTCCTCTGTCGAAAATAAGGGTGAAAAGAGCATTGACACGACATCGCGAGAGAAAGCCGGACAAACACCAAACTTGAGTGCAAAAAAAAATGATTTATATCAAAAAAAGGAAGATAGAAAAAATGGGTTTAAAAATCATTGCAAAATATATATATATATATATATATATATATATATATATATATTCACTTAAAATATTTTTAATGAGATTAACTCTAAAATATTTTCTAAATATTTAAAATATTCTTTAAAGAAAGCCGAAGTATAAATAATTACTCTACAAACAACTTGATGAAACAGCAAAACGGAATCGCTTTGTGTCTGTTTTTAACTTTAAAATGTTTTTATTACTTAACTCGTGGCAGAAAAGTTCGTTCTGATAACCGTTCTTTTAATAATTGTTGCAACGTAACGGAATATCTTCGTCTTTAGGTCGAAGACAGATTCAGTTTTTTGGATGCATGGCTGTGATTGTTGGGATATCCTCGTTCCTATGTTGTGTTCTTGGCTGCTCCATTTCCAGGCACCATGTGGCTGTTATTTGAGTTTTACGGAGCTAAATTTGTCCATATTGACTCGTCGGTCGTACAAGAAGAGACTCGTGATAGGCTGCTTTCAGCCAATCACAAAGGCCCATGATAACGACCCCTTCAAAGGGAGGCAATTTTTTATCTTTATAATAATTTCAAGAACACTTCAATATACGATACCCTGTATTATATTATAAATTTATAACATAAAACAACTAATTCGGTAATAGACAGAACTGATCGATATTATTCGACCAAACATGTGATGATTACCATTGATGATTGCCATTTGATATATATATATATATATATATATATATATATATATTAACCGGACGTCTAGACACACTGATGAGCTCTGATACAGCGAAACAGTCTGGTCTGTCGATGACAATATATATGCCCCTGAAAAATTATTTTGGTTGAGGTCTCTAGGGAAAAAATGTGATTTTGTAAACAGTGTCTATTACTGCTACAAATCAAATACTCTTCGATAAAAAGAATCGAGTTCTCTCAGTCACTGGCGTGTTTGTCTAAAAATAAATACGCTTAAATTCACCTTCAGTAGATTCTCTGACTGACGCCAATTTAGCCGGGTTTCGACCCTAGCTAGAAGCAAGCGGACGTCTAACCACACTGTTGAGCTGTGATACATCGAAACAGTCTGTCTGTCTCTCTCTCTCTCTCTCTATATATATATATATATATATATATATATATATATATATATATATATAAAAAGTGTCAGTAACTTCAAATTATTAAATGACGCACCAATCTGGAATGGCAACACCCACTTCAGAGATAAGCATTACAGCAGCAACTCAGCGACATCCGTTAAACACAAGGAAATTCTTGTCTGTCTGTATTGTCGCGGTGTTGGTCGTCTTTATCTATGTTCTTCAAAGTTGCACTTCGTGCAGACCCCAATGGCACGGCGTTTATCTTCTTTAAAATGGTCACTGTTTTAATAAACAAATTCGTTTTTATTCAAATATCAGCAAGATTTTAGCAAGATTTTTTAGCCCGTTATTTTTTAATTTTTTTTTTACAATTATGTTCTTTGTATATGGTCCGAAAGCCACTCGAGGTAGAATGGTTAAAGAGTAAGAGGTATAATTTATGCGGATACGTGAAGATAACGGTTAACTCTAGCCTTGAACAGGTTAACATCGTAGTAATCGGGAAAACATCCTCCTAGGAGTCGGTTCCACAAACAACGGTTCGCTAGAAGAATCTGCTAGAATGGAATTTAAATCTCACGAATGGAACACGAAGAGAATTAGCGTGTTTGGCTACAAGGTTCATACCATGGACGGTCTTAGGCGTGAAGGTTATAACTTGGTGGAACTAAACAATCGAAAAAGCGAGAGGCTTGTGACGTATCGTCAGTGAGAAAGGAGTTTTAGAGTGGGAAATAATTGACCACCCACAAGGAAACGGAGACAGTTTTGGGAAGCGATAACTGGGCAGCTCTTGCTCGTATATGATAGCAGTACTTTCTGCCTGTCGCGACACTTGTAAAGGTTGAAGATTGGAGGAGGAGAAGGAGGAGGAGGAGGAGATTGAGTCAGATACTTGCTGGTGTGGTACAGGGAACAGATCATTTTCCCAGCATCTTTAGCTGTGGATTGTATGTATAAGGTCCACATGAGGTTTGGGGTACGTTTAACTCACAAGTGGCGCTCGAGGCACAGGGAAAATTAATTCATCGTGATTAATGATATTTCATGACACCATAGGAGATAATGGACTGTAACTAGTTTGTTTTTGTAACCAGCCTGTCTTCCACTACTGAGACATTAGATCGAGGTCAAATAAAAACCATGTGTTCAAATATTGTGTTAGATTTGAAATTTCCCTTCACAAATGATAAGTTTGTTTCAATTTATATTTGATAGAAAAACTAACCTGGAATCATTCGATGTAGAATTAGTTTATGGTCATAATATCTTGTAGCAAGGCTACTATATATTATGCGAGGTACTGGGCGGGTGGGTTGGTTATGGTAAGCAAAAATGTATTACAAGACACGCTCGAGATCAGGTGGTCTCATAGTCACCGAGTGAAGAATCGTTTGATTGGTCCAGCAATTCACATCTGAGAAAGAACCGTATGATAGATATATGCTTACCTACAGCCTAAAGGAGAGAAGTTTCATCAAATACATTTATAAATCTACTATTTGCCCATGCATTGAATATTGCTGTCACATCTGATCTACCGTTTTTGATACGTTTACAAGAGTTTCTTGATAAAATCTAAGAAGAATTGGCATTGTTATTGGTCCTGACCTGCATCTCCGGTTCAGTTACTTTCCCAAAGCTGTAACCTAGCTTCCCTGTAACTTTTCTCTAAATATTTTCACGGTAACTATTTTAATGAACTTTCCTCTTTTGAAAGTAGACTTTGGTGTTTACATTGTTCGGAATGTTGTCCTCATTTTTATTGTCATATTCAGGTCAGAGGCAAACATGGATTCAAATATGGCGTTAGATTTTAAATACAATTTATTTCCCTCGCAAATGGTAGTTTCTTTCAATCTATATTTGACCGCAAAGCTCACCTAAAATCATTCGATGTAGAATTAGTTTATGGCCTTAATATTTAGTAGCGCGACCATGCGCTTCCATTCTTGGCACTGAGGGTAACTTTGGTTTGGTTTGGTTTGATTTGTTTTGGTTTGGTTTGATTTGTTTTGGTTTGGTTTGGTTTGGTTTGATTTGTTTTGGTTTGGTTTACGGTATATCAATCTCAACGGTTATTTAAAGCCGACAAGATTTTTATTGCTGGTAATATTTTTTTTCCAAAAGTATATCTGGTAATATTTTTCCAAAAATGTACTGCTGGTAATATTTTTTCCCAAAAAAATTTTGTTGGTAATAATGTATTGCTGGTATTAAATTTCTCTTTGAAAATTGTAATGGTTGTTGATGGTAATAAATCTTTACAAAAATATATTATTGGTAAATGTATTGCTGGTATTAAAACCTATTTTTACACTTTCATAGTGTTTTGACCCCAGTTTGAGGGTTAACTATTTGCCCATAGCTGGGACCCTAACAGGTGCTATCACCCCGAGTTAGGGAGGACCTTTGAAACACCATCAATTAAGAGGTGGTTCCACACCTTTCAAAACCTCCTGATCAAAGAATTGTCGGATGTAGTCTATCGTCCTACCCAGGACGCGGATGTAGTTTATTATCTTAACAGGACACGGTAACTTTGATAGAAAATTGTAGTATGTGTCACGCCAGGGATCAGGTGATATCATAGTCGTCGAGTGTAGACTCGTGTAATAGCAAATCACAGCTGAGAAAGAACCGTATGACAGATATATACTCACAAAGGAGAACGGGAGTTTTATCTAACATATTTATAAGTCCATGCATTGAATATTGCTGCAACATCTGATCTACTGCTTTTGCTGCGTTATTAGAGATTCTTGATCAAATCAATAGAGGAATCTGCAATGTTATAGGTCCACGCATGGTATCTCAGCTTCAATCACATTCCCACCACCGTAACCTAGGTTTCTTTCACTTTTTCTATAAATGTATTTATGGCAATTGTTCTGATGAGATTTCCTCTTTGGTACCTCGAATTTGGTACCTCAAATTTAAGCACAGGACTAGATTTGCATCTAAGAAGAGATTTATTAATTTCAGACAAATTGTGCAGCGTAACAAGTTCGGACATCTCTCTCTCCTCTCTCTCTCTCTCTCTCTCTCTCTCTCTCCACCCTTTTCTCTTCATCTCTCTTTCTTTCCTCCCTCTGTCTCTCTTCTTTTTTCCGCCTTTTCTCTCCTACTTTCTCTTTAACCACCCCGTCTCTCTTTCTCTTCTGCTCTTTACCCCCCTTTCTTTCCTGCCTTTTCTCCCCTTCTCTCTCTTTCTCTCTCCGTCTCTCTTTCTCTTCCGGCCTTTTCCCCCTTCTCTCTCTCTCACACACTATTTTATCCGACATTTCCTTTCCTAAAACATTCTAATATTCTACAGTAAACTAATATGAAAAGGCACTTGTGCTTGTGTGTGTGTGTGTGTGTGTGTGTGTGTGTGTGTGTGTGTGTGTGTGTGGGCGGGGTATGTTTGTGTGTATGTATTTGTGAGTGTGTCCGTTTCTCTCTCATTTTTATTAGAATGCACTGACGACTTCTGTTTGGGGGTCCACTATTTTCTCATAGCCGAGACCCTAACAGGTGCTTCCACTACGAATCAGGGTGGACCTGAGAATAACAATCAGAGAGGTGGTTCCAAGCTGCTCAAAACTACCAATTTCGCGATCAGAGGCCTTGCTACCAGATGTAGTTTATCGTCCTACACGTGAAGCACTTGTTTGTGTCTGTGTGTGTTTATATTTGTATGTGTTTGTGAGTGTGTCCGTTCTCCTATCGCGGTAAAGTGACAAAGTCTATTGACTTAATGTTTATCATGGAGACTAACAAGTTATCCATATAAGCTCTTCTATGTTGACTGTGGCGGTCATTCGAGGTCACTAGATTTAATCAATGATCACATGACATTTCTATCTAAATTTAGCCATTCTTACCAAAATGGATTCAAATATTGCGTTAGGTTTGTAGAACAATTCATTTCCCACGGAAATGGTAGTTTGTTTCAATTTATATTTGACCGCACAGCTCACCGGGAATCATTCGATATAGACTTAGTTAATGGTCCTAATATTTACTAGCGCGGCTACTAAATGTTAAACGTGGTACTGGGTGAGAGGACTTTGGTAGGAAATGATGAATAAAAGTGTAGTATGTGTCATGCCCAGGATCAGGTAACCTCATAGTCGCCAAGTGTATAGTCGTTTGATTCGGCCAGCAATTCACATCTGAGAAAGAACTGTATGACAGATATATGCATACCTACACCCTAAATCAGAAATGAAGTGTCATCTATAAATCTGCTATTCGCGCATGCATTGAATATTGCTGTCACATCTGATCTACAGTTTTTGCTACGTTTTTAGATAAAATCCAAATAATAATTTGCATTGTTATAGGTCCTGACCTGGCATCTCCGCTTCAGTTACTTTCCCATAGCTGTAACCTAGCTTCCCTGAACTTTTTCTATAAATATTTTCATGGTAACTATTTTGATGGACTTTCCTCTTTCGTAGCTTGACTTTGGTGTTTACATTATTTACATTGTTCGGAATACTGACCGCGTCTTTATTGTGATATTCAGGTCTGAGGAAAGCATGGATTCAAATATGGCGTAAGATTTTAAATACAATTTATTTTTCCTCGCAAATGGTAGGTTGTTTTAATTTATATTTGAGCGCAAAACTTACTTGGAATAATTCAATTTAAAATTAGTTTTTGCCCTTAATATTTAGTAGCGCCGCTATGCGTTTCCATTCTTGGGTGGGTGACAACTTTATTGGGAAATGACGCGTATAAGATTGTAGTATGTGTCACGCCCGAGTTTAGGTGGCTTCATAGTCGCCGAGTATAAATGCATGCGATTGGCGCAACAATTCACATCTGAGAAAGAACCGTATGACAGGTCTATGTTTACCTACACCCTAAAGGATTTCCATCTTATACATTTATAAATCGACACCTAAAAATAGAAGCAGCTATCGGCATAAACACTCAAAAAGTGGAGGACATTAATTCTATAAAAGCTATGTCTTTTCAACGACTTTATCAAGGCGAGGATTTTGATTTGTAACGAGTATCTATAAACAAGAGCAAAAATGTTATTGTTTTTCAAAATTTCTATGTACAGGAACGCTCATAAATATTCTTATTTATTTATATTGTTTTATTAAAGCAAACCAAACCAAACCAAACCGAAATTACCTCGTATGGTGGGGTATAGATCTATTTCAACCGACGAGAAGTACGTTAGACTTATTCAACCCCGGTGTATAGACTGTGTTCCTGTCGGAATTAGAAATTTCAAATTTAACTTTGACAACAGCCGGAAAAATGATACAGAATTTATCCATTTCAATGTTTCAGTCAGACGAAAGGCACGAGACAGTGATAAGGGGAGGGTTGAAGGTATTAGCTTTAAAGAAAAGAGGTTTTATAATGGTAACCTGTATATTAACTTTATGACATTAGATTGGGGTTATATGAAAAATGAAATTGAAACTAAAAGAGGGCCGAAAATGAAGTTTTATATTAAAATCTTTAATTATATATATATATAAAAGTTAGATTCCTATTTAAAATATAACAAATATTACTTAAAAATTGAGATATTTTAAAAAGATTAACAATAAATCATATTTAAATAATTTATATTAAATTTAAGAATGTAATTTAAAAAAATTGATATTAAAGAAGAAAGAAATTAAGATAAAATAAATTATCCTTTTTTAACTTTAAAGATAACTTAAATCAGGTTATTTTTTTTCAAAATCAAACTATACCAAGTTATATTTAAATAAAAAAAAAACTAAAAAACATTATAAAAATATATAAATAAAGAAGTGTAAGAGAGAGAAAAAAGAGAGTTCTTAGGATAGGGGGCCATTGTCAATTATAACAACTCCGAACCAGTTATAAGCCTTATCGGATTTTTAAACGTACGAGCTGACTTCTGTCGATTCAATAAATCCCAATCGTGATCTGTGTCCTTTTTTCTGTACACATAGACATGAAACTTAGCTTCCCTGTCATTCATAGCCATAGTACACTTTATAAGAAACAGAACTGAAGCACATTAATCTTAAACACGCTTCTTCCCTTATCAACCTTTTCGTTGTAAAGTAATTTTCACAGTGGAGGCTTGTATTTCACTAAGTCGGTCCTAAATTAGGTTCGACGTACAAAACGTTAGGAACTTGAAATAATAGTTAATGACGCAGCAATCTAGTTGGAGGGCTCATACTTTAATGTCCGACATCGACTGACTCACACAACTGACTCTGAGCTTCACTGGCGACTGCTACTACTACTACTACTTATCTGTGGGAGAGTCTATTTACAATAGAAATAGGTACGTTCCGATATAACACTTTTAACAAGCGAATATCTTTCCTAACTGACAAGTGACAAGTGTTTCAGCTCTCACTTCTCTATCGCTACCACCATGGAAAGTCTTCGGGTGAACTATACCTTTTCAACTTCAAAATGATAATAATCAACTTCAAAATGGACTTATTTTCAGGTAAAAAAATTAATCAACTTCAAAATGGAACAATCAACTTCAAAATGGATTAATCAACTTCAAATTAGAAAATAACTTCAAAATGAGAAATAATCAACTTCAAATTGGATTAATCAACTTCAAATTGGATTAATCAACTTCAAATTGAGAATTAATATAATACTAATAAATTTAATATTTATTCTTTTATTTTTACATAAAAGGGATATAAAAAAATATAAACGTTCCTAAGAAATTTATTTAAAAGATTACATCATCTAAGTTAATTACAGGGGGAAGTAATCTCTGTATTCCAGATACGAAGTTAGTGCAAGTCTTAGGGGAAATATTATCAATTGCCTCGGAGATCATCGCTTCTAACTTGCTGAGGTGGAATTCTTTAGAAGTTAAAGATCCCTGGCCATCACCTCTTAAAACCCCAACAATTGAGTCTGCCATACTTCTTTTTACTTCAGCTTTAATGACTGACCAAACCTTTTCAATTGGATTTAACATCGGGCTATAGGGGTCAAGCCTGAATATTTGGTGTTGTCTAAATTCATCCTTCTCCACAACTTCTTCAATTGAAGTATGGCAAGGAGCGTTATCAATAACTAAGACAACTCCCCTTTCATAAATTTCATTTGCCTTTCTAAGGCACTCCCTGGTTCATTCTTTCGCATCCTCTTTTTTGAAAGAACCTCTTTTAATTTTATGATGAATTAATCCATTATTACTAATACATCCAATAACATGGATGTTATTTCCCCTGGATCCGGCCGCGACTGTAGTGCACCTCGTGCCTTTTTTAACGCGACCTTCTCTTCTTGAAATATAGAGATTAAAATTGGTTTCATCCATATAAAGAATTGGCACACTTTGAGACTGAAATTCTAATAAAGCTACTGCGTAATCCTTACGTTTCGCCTTATTGACATTATTATTGGCAGCTTCTGGTTCATAATGAACCGCTTTTAAAGTAAAGGCTATGGAGTCACACAAACCTCATACTTTTCGATCAACTTATTTACAATGTCTTGAAGAGTGACCCTAGGAGCGTTTTCAATTAATTCGGCCATAAAATTCTTATTGGGAAAGGTATGAATCCTCTTCATCTCCCTCCAGCTATAGCCAAATAGCACGAGAGAACGCGTTCTATATCCTCGGATGACAACAGGTTTACCGCAGAAAGAAATGGCAACCTACTGCGGGAAAAAAATCTGCCTCAGCAGTCATATATCGAAAGATACATGATCGCATAAGCGTGTATCACACATGACACATAACTTACTGACCCTCGAGTTTCAAATAAATGAGGTAGTTGGAATAGAAAGGGTGTATCACGTATAGCACATAACTGACTGAAATTCACTTGAATCCTCTTCTTCTCCTCCCAGCTATGGGTAAATAGCAGGACAGACCAACTTCTATAGCTTTAGATAGCAACTGGTCTACCGCAGAAAGAAATGACAATCTACCTCTGGAAAAATTCTACCACGTCAGTCATGTGTCGAAAGACATATGATCGCCTAAGCGTGTATCATGCATGGCACATAACTGACTGAATTAATTCATCAATTATTATTACATTAGAAAACTATTTAAATGCTTCTCTGATGGTCATCTTTGTCTAGAGTAGGAAATTCAAGGGAACTTCTTCTATGTGCCGTGTCACTTCAGAACGTAGGCGATCATGGCTCTCCACAACTTCCTGTTTTTTATGGCTCTTAATAAATGTATTCTTTTTGTTATCCCTGCTAAAACTTGTTCCGCATTCTATTTGCTGCTTG